ACACACACACACACACACACGTATAACATACCAATTTGTTTGCTAAAGCTATATTTTCCTGGTTGTTCAGCGATGAAGGGAGACTCTGGTGTTTTTTCTGGGTGCCAAGACCATGGCCATCTGTGCCTGCTGGTCAGAACGACTGCGGTGTTGACTTGTCTGTTGCAAAAGTGTGTCAGACACCCGACTGAAGCTGTCTGAAGACATGGAGGTGCAGGAGAGGATGGAGGGTCTCTGAATGAAAGATGTGGTGGTGTGCAGGTTCAGTGTCAACATAGAGTTGAATATGAGTGCAGTAGCCATTTTCTAGAGGGTTTAACATTTTTAAATATATATAAATGACATAGAGTTGTCCTGAATGTTTGTTGTACAATGTAGATTAGCTTTTATAAATGTGTTAATAAATGTTATTCTAGAACCAGCATTTATGTGTTTAATCTGAAATCACATTATTTAGTTTACAGCTCAAAAACATATTTAGGTTTGCAGTCTCTTTAACCTTTAATTCAAATTTCTGGATGTGAAAGAGAAGCAGCTTTAAAAAGATCATCTGGTCTATTCTGATTTGTATCTTTGCAGTGACACGACCTGTTTTGTTTTTGTAAATCATACACTTGTTAACCGATTAAAAGATTTGAAGTCAACAGAATCTCAAAGTGGAACAAAGGTGAATCCAGCGTCTCACTGACCAGTGTTTTGTTTGGACTGTGCCCTGATCAGATTCTGGAAACCTTTTGTAGCAGTGACCCCGAGCCAATAAAGAAGCATCTTAGTAGCAAACGATTTAAGTACAACATTACTCGATATGATCAAAATCTACATAAGAAAAAGATTCATGGGAAAACACAGATAAATAGTAAAGTCTATTGATAAAGAAAGGAAATGTTAACTTCATTATTAACTTTTTCTTTTTGCATCCTCTGCCTTCTTTGGATCTACATATGTGTCATGAACTGTGGCTTTACACACAATCCACCTTATCCTCCAAATAGGCAACAGTTGAGATTATCAGGAAAATAGGATTTAGGCCAAATTCAACAGACTGTGATTAGAGACTCATCTACCCTGTGCGCTTATGTACACAGTATGTATCATGTTTGTTTGTAGATAGTACATTTATACTTGAACTCTTAAATAGTTTTCCCGTTGAAGTTTTCTTATAACACTGGTAAATATGAATAGCTATTATCATCTTCTTAGACAGGATTGATTGTTTTGTATAATTTTGTTGAAATGATAAGTGACATACAACTGTTGCCTGTCAGGGAGATTGAAATTTTGTTTTCATTCAATATCAATTTCTCTGTGTGTGTCGCTGACCCATTTGCAACAACATAACATATGTTGACCCAGTAATGACATTCTGTAAAGTCAAACAGCGTTGCATCATAGTGGATTGATTTCATTCACATTCCTACATCCACCACATTGATTAACCACCAATCCTTTGTAGCTGGTGTGTGTGGGAGTGTGTGTGTACACTGATCTTTAATGGGGCTAAAGGAGCAGCAGGCCAAGTGGAAATGGTGCGCTCACATGTTGGGGATTGTGATGACAGAGCTGAGTGTGTGTGCATTAAGCTGTGAGTATAGACTAAGCTGCAGGACATGAGGTTAACGTGTCCTCACAGCACCTCTCCCCTCAGCTCGGGCCGATCGAGCTGTATGGGCCAGTGCTACAGTATGGGCCATAGAGACAGAGCAGCTGAGCCACTGAGCTCTGTCACTTCTGTGACTGTAAGTGACAGTCGACTGTGGTAATCTGAATTTATTTTCGATGATCATAAAAATAAATCCTATTAGAAGGGATGTGATGTAATTAAAGCAGAAGTGGCAAACTTAGTCTAACCAACATTTTTGAACGTATATACACGGATTGGATTGAATTAAAGATGATAATAATACCATAATAACTTTATTCATATGGCACCTTTCAAAACAGGCTACAGTGTTTTGAAACCCATTCAAACAGGCAGCCAATGAAGGGAAGCTATTGTCAGGATGTGATCATGCTGACGTGATTTAGTTTAGAATCTGGCAGCTGCATTTCGAACATCCTGAAGCTGCGCAATAATATTTTGGCAAAGGCTTATAAACACAGTAGATTGTTGTTTTAATGTAATTGTGTGATTGTTGTTCTTACTGTAACTGTGGAGGCATTTATCTGTGCAGCACTGACTCCAAGATAAATTTCCCTACGGGGATAATGAAGCATATCATATCTTATCATTAGAATAACAACAGATGATTGCACTTTTTGAGGATCAATAAAGGACATAGATGATCTTATTCTGGAAATATTTCTCAATTGAAAAAACAATGATGTAATGGAAATAGATTTACCTCAGTTTACCTTCACAACACAGCTGGACGGACATATACTGTATAGATAGGTAGATAGATAGATAGATAGATAGATAGATAGATAGATAGATAGAGAGAGAGAGAGATACTATATGTATAGAGTGAAAGAGAGAGAAAGAGAGAGAGATGGATAGATTGATGGCAGGATGGATGGTTGTACATAGAGAGAGACAGACAGATAGACAGACATACAAACAGATAGAGAGAGAGATAGATAGATAGATCCTCTGCTGCCCCCATGTGACAGTTTGTATCAGTAACCTCTGCACTAACACGACACCATATCTGCGTCACATTTAGCCACAGTAAGAAACGCATGTGGAAAAAATTAAACTCCTGATCTTTTTAATACTTTAGCATGCGTCGTCCATGTTGCTAATGCTGATGCTAATGTTATTGGCGTATAGCCGAGGGGAGGGGTCGACATCTCTCTGCGTACATTCATACTTGGGCCATTTTCTGTTTCCACTGACGTGTACGTGTAACGTTAGAATGAGAACATTCACCGAGTTACGCAGCTTCAGCACGAGTTTTCTTCGGTATCTTAACATTAGCTGGAAACCATTAGTTCTTCTTTTCTAAGCCACTGAGCGCAAAGCGACTCCAACGTGACACATTTAGTCGAACGTTAAGACTGTGATTAATTGTCTGCGTCGTCTAACTACAACCCAAATAAGAAAGCGAAAGAATGAAGAATATGGGTCATAAATTGAACCCATAAGCACCAACTGGTCCCATGGTGTAATGGTTAGCACTCTGGACTTTGAATCCAGCGATCCGAGTTCAAATCTCGGTGGGACCTCGTCCTTTTCACGTCCACACGTGTCAACTACAACTCTATACACATCGATAATAAGAAGTAGACAGGTGATGTTCTGCTGTCCAATGAAATATAAGTACATAGAGTAGAATAGTATAATTCAATTCACTTATATAATTTCATAATGTCACTATGAAATACAACTCACACTGAATGCCACGGTCCAAACAACTTTATTTCCACACGTAAATAGCAATGTTAAATACAATACAATTCTTAAAGGTTTTTTTGACAATTCATTGGAATGTTTCTTGAATTCATTTGCAAACATGTCCGTGACAACTGTTTCTCTACTGTCAGACGTGTACAGGGTTGGGCTTCTGTGCAGAATGTGGTGAGAACCAGTTTAGTTTTTAAAAAGATGCTTCTCTCCTCTACTAAGCTGTTTTCTCTCCACCATCACACTACCCTGCTGGATCCACACTGGAGCATTTGAGTTCCTACAAGATTGTGCATAGAGGACATCAAAATATATGCATTCTAGTTCTTGCTTAATAATCCAGTGAAGATTGAAAATGATTCTGCAGACACCAGCAGAACTAGCTTTTTGATCATTAATAATAATGCTGTTTCTAATTTAATGCTAGAAGTCCCAGTAAACTAGATTTATGCATTTTATTTTTAAACTTTAAAACTGAAACATTTTTAACAACCACAACTTAATATAAAATAATATAGAACCTAAAAAAAGCAATAGGAACAGCATCACAATAAAGACAATGTTGTTTAAAGTGGTGTTAAATAGAAAAAACACCACTTGTTTCTCAGACCAATTTGGCACAGTCCTGTGTCTGGAAATATATCCTCAGCCAAACGTTTCAAAATGTATTTCAAAATGTGTAGCTCTACATTTTCATCGCATTAAAGCTTCATAATAGATTAAGATGTATTGTTATATTACAATAATAATGAATGAAAGTGTGGTAAATTATAAATAAGTGCACCCACAGCTCAAAATAGATTATTCCATAAACCACTTCTATGTTTTATGTCTTTCACTCCATAGCGCCTACTGACACTTAAAATTAGCGTTATAACTCGAATGTCTAACACATGATCTAGTTCCAGGTAAAGTAAATAGGTTTGGAGCAGACCAGGCTTATAATTCAATACACACTACTTAACATGCATATTTGGTACTTCCAAAAATGTTATTGATACATTAGGCTACAATCTGTAAGCTGTGTACAGAAAGCATAAAAGCCCTTTCAACATCGTATAATTCATATCTGTCAAAGCAAACATAGTGATCATGAACTTGATAAGGAGGAGATAAAACTTTTCCTCTGTTCAGTGTCCAAACTTAACATTTAACTGCCAAGAACTAGTTTAACAATTCAATAATGATATGACATCTCTGTCCAATGTTGGTGCCTTAAAAAAACAAAGTACAATAAATACAAGAGCAGTGAAGTTGTGGAAAAAAACGTGTTTTCAGGTCTGCAAGAAAACTGTTGGAGAAAGGTTGTTATAAAACCTTAATTTTATGCCTTTGAAGCTTTGATTTACCCAACAGATTCATTAACATAGTACTTTTTAAATTTTAGTTATTGTTTTTTTTATTATTATTTACAGCCCATACCTACACCCCAGACATGAACTGTATAATTGTATATCTGTTTTCCTATGAGAAACTGCTGCTCTGTGTTCAGCTGGGTACTTTATTCTCTCATTCCTCAATGCTGCTGTCTAATTTAGTTATATGCAACTCACTGAATGGCCTGATTTGTATTTGTTATTACGGAGATATAAATCAGTAAATAGATTTTAGACTTAGCAAAGGCTTGCTGTGGTTTTTTCATTATCTAACTTAACAATTACTCAGTCGATACATTTTGCCTGTTTCTTTGCTCAAAAGATGGATGCAATCACAAGTCAATTCTCTAAAGACAGAGCAGCTGCCACATAAACATAACAGATAATTTCCTTTATTCACTACTTACTGAAAACACAGTATCGACACTGCATTCCTTCACATGTCTGCTTAAATCCATTACTACCAACCTCCTCTAAGCCATAACTCCTATCATGGTACCAGCAATCACACATATGATAAATGCTTCATTTGCTTTGGGAGGATTTCTAACTGTATGTTTGCAGGCTTTAGTAACACCTCTGCTCTAAAAGCCTTGACCTCTGCTCAAGTTGAGAACTATTGGTTGGCCTTGTTGATTAATTCTTATCTGATGCTATTGAAAGTGTGGTTTTTTAACAGATCTGAGAATTACTTCCTCAGAGTGACCTCTAGAGCCGAATCAGTCACGCTCTAAGAGCGGTTGCACCACTGAAACACTTCTGTTTTCTGTGGCCCTAAGGGCAGCTCAAGGCGAACCACCACATCCTGCTATTCGTATTCTCTGATATGTACATCCAGGGAAACATTGCATTCTTTGTTTGAGTCAAACTTAACAGACAATGTCTGTATCCCAAAGGGGTGCTCCAAGGCTCTGTGCTGGGGCCCCCTCTCTCTGCATTACACTGCACCCCCCTGGGTCCAGTGATTTGCTTACAAGGCTTCTCATGTTACTCTCAGACATACAGTATCTACAAGAAACACCAGCGTCAACTGACCTGGGTGTCATGACTGATGACGAGTTATCCTCTTCTGATTATGTTGCATCTTTTTCCTGGTCATGCCACTTTCCACTGTACAACACCATAAAAAAAATCAGGCCTTCATTCCTCTTGGTTGAGACCTTGGTTAAACTTTACCTCAACTACTTACCACTACAAGCCCTTGTACTGAGTCTGCCTTCACACACAGTGAAACAATTACAGATGGTCCAAGATGCAGTGTCTGGTCTTCAATCTGCCTAAAAGATGGCATGTTACTCCACCTCATTAACCTCCACTTAGCACTTCTTCTTCTGGCATGTCCATTACTGCACGCAACTCACAGTCCAGACTCTGACTGTGGTAAGAGCTATTAAATGCTTTGAGAGCTGCAGTGTCCCGCTCCACTTTCAAGAACCTCTTGACAACTTGTCTATTCCTAAAGTACCTCTTCTCCTTACACACCTCTAACACCTACTCACACTTGCATCATGCATCCAATGTCCTGCTCTTTTTGCTCTTTGTCTTATTGAACAGATTTCGTATTCAGTGTTATCCCACACAAAAGCCTCTGCCAATTGAGTTTATGCAAATTCAATGTATCCTCTCTATGTGTTGTACTGGTTTTCAGTTTCTCTGTTTTAGCAGAAAATATTTATTTCTGCATTGTACTATATTATGAACCAATGTCAAAAAGTCATACAAAAGTAACTTAAATACATTAATCCAGCAACAGAACATAGTCATATGCTGTGATTATACAACACCATGATATATTTCAGTTATCTACTCAGTTCTTACAAGTCCTAAAAAAGTTGCAGTAAAAATGTGTGTGTGCTTGTGTGAACATTAAGTGCTCTTCAGATATTATGTACACTGTCCAAATCAGTTAACCTTTATTTTGAAAATATACCTGCAACCTCTGTTTCCTGCAACCTGTCTTTCTCTGTCACCTCCGGTCAGATGTCGGTGGTCTCCACCTCTTTGAGGATGTCAACCTCCCCATTGTTGCAGGTGTTATTCTTTTTCTGCCCGTTGGACAGGGAGATGCTGCTTTCATTTTCTCCAGAAGTCGCAGCAGCAGGCTGTTCCAAGCTGATGGTGGCGCGGCTCATCTCTGTGATGGAGGAGTTGGTGTGGGAGTTAAAGTGGTTGCTGGTGATGGGTGTTTCTCCCCAGCCACTTTTGCCCCTGGCAAACTTCCGCTGAGCCCATTTCCTCTTCAGTGCTGCCTGGGCCTGAAAGACAATGAGTCAGAATGAAGATCAGAATCAGCTTTATTGGCCAAGCATTTTGACTCTGGTTTGGCATTACTCTCAATGTACGAAATAATCAAAACACAATAAATACAAAGAGCGATGAATGGGAAATGAATCCACCAGGACTCTGTAGTGTATAACTCAGCTACTTTGTATGATTACACTGTAGGTAGGTGGTGCAATAAAGAAAGTGTTTAATCCATGTTATTTTAGTTAATTCTTCTTTTAACACATTTTTTGTCACGATTCTGCCCTCTGCCTATTAACTTGTGAAAGACTGTTTATGCTTCTGCCTTTTTAAAAAACATTTTCAGTTATATGGATTAAATGATAGATGTTTAACTTTTTCTCCTTGTGTTTGGATTTCTGGATTTGTGTTCTGTGTTTGGTTAGTTGTTTGTACTCTGGGCTCTTTGTTTCCTAATTTATTGTGAAACTTCTTTCCTTGTGTATCTGTCTTGCTTTACTTCCTGTCTTTGTTCTGTTTCTTGCCCCTCTGCCATCTGCACCTTTATCTTCTGAAGTGTTTCACCTCCCTTGTGTGGGTTGTCTCTGTGTTTACCTTGTCTCGTCAGTCCAGCTCCTGTGAGTCATCTTCTGTTTTTTTGGTCTCAGTTTCGTATCACTCAAGTTATCTTACCAACCAGCCGCAGTGTAAGCCTGTTCATTTTTGATCAAATACTTGCTGTATTTTTTGTGTGCCTGTATTTGGCTCCAGCTCAGAACGTGACAGTTTCAAAGTTTACCTTTACAAATATGCAATATGAAAGTTCTAACATACCTCATTATTGCAGAAACAGAATATAATTGCCACCAAGAGTCCCTGCAAAGTGAAAGTGATAATACAGAAACAGATGTCAGTGAGCTTAACTACAAATTTAAAAAATCAACAGGTTTCCTTGACAAACATGGACCATGGATGCAAATATTAATTTCCTCTCTAGCTCCTGTGAAATTTTCAGCTGTATGTCTAATTTCCTAACACAAGACACCAAGTGGCACTTTCTTATTATAATGCAAGAGCAGAGAGTGGTTCTATCATGCTTTAGTGGAAATAGATGAAAGGGCTCTTTAGTTTGATGTTATTTCATGAAAATGGGTTTCAAGCATGCAAAAAACAAACTGTGGAAAAACAAAATTGATAAAAATCTTGCAGGCAATCAGAGTTAATTAGCTGTTGTTTACTGCACAGTAAGATTTAGTTTAATACATCCTTGTTTTAAGGGGTCCCTATGACATCAGCACTTGGTACAAACTCTTAGTTTACTCTTGACTCTACCTGGAAGTTGCTGAAGATATTTACAAAGAAATCATAGATGGCGCGGCTAATGCGTCCTTCTGGCCTCCAGGGTAAAAGGATGAACTGGACTCCCAGCAGAGGGATGAGGATGAGGGTGGCTCGAACTGCCTTCATGTAGGTGGTGGACTCAGCACAGTGGGTCACCTTCAGCTTGGTGATCAGAACTCGGACGATGTTCAGGAGAAATAATAAGTTCACCTGGGTGAATTGATGGTGGGTGGGTGAGCAGTCGGATGGATAGATGAATGAAAAAGACACAGAAATCTGTTAATACTTCTGATGTATTAGACTTTATTAATCTTGAAGGGAAGGCACATTTTTTATATTTTCCAAAGAATTGCAAGAACTGGCCTGATGGTGGCACTGTAACAACACCTTCTCTTAAAACTTCTATTCCTTCTATTCCATTGTATTCAATATACTCTGTATATACATACATACATTCTAATGTTATTGATTACTCACAAACAGTGCAGCTTGAATGGGCCCATGGATGATGTACAGCAAATGAGTGTGTGAGCTGATCCAACACCTGGAAGAAACACACAGAGCAGGAACTGAAACTCCTGACACCACGAATGTGAGTAATGTCATGCACAGTGAATGAGAAAGACCAAGGGGTTTAGTGAAAGCCTGAATCAGTCATCATTAGTCCTAGACTCAGCAAACACAGGGCTCACAGAAAGTCCACTTAATGAGGCAAATCAATATCTCTCAATACCTTCTCGGCCTGAGAGTGACCAGAGTAAAAGAAGGTCAAAGGAAAGGGGAGCAGGATAAACCCTATTCTGTAGTTATTTTACAGGAGGATACATTCATGATCTGGATTTGAGCTTCAGTACAGTACATATGCAGCATTACTGACATTCATACTGATAATTATCTTTGTAGCTAAATCTTACTTGTCGTTAAAGTAGAGTCCGCGAGCCACAGCATATGTTGCTGCAGGAACGATGGGAAACACTGAGGATAAAGAAGAGAAACACAGACAGAAATATGAGATGGCTCAATAATTGTTTTGTTAACTATGTTTAATTGACTTTCTAGCGAGCAGTTAAATAAGAACATCAATGCCACTCATATCTCTCTTTAGGAACCAGAAGAGAGTGGTGACAGGGAACAGTTAGTCAGACTCTGTCCGAACAAAAGCCACATCAGCTCTAAAGATCACAGATTAACATATTTGATCTTGTTTATTTATTCTGAAAGGTAAAAACCTCATTTGACTTGTGCAAAGCTAAGATGAGCTATGCCTAGCTAATGGCTACTGACATTAAAATGGTCAGTGGTAAATAAAGATGGGTGACATGACAGCTCCTAATGTAAAGCAAAAACATCTGGATTGTCTGCTGGCTGGCTGCAGAATAAGTCGAAAGCCTTGTCTCCTCCATGTTAGTTGACGGAACCAAAGTCAAAAAGATTTTTCTCAAAGATGGTTTATATATTTTAGTAGTTCAGGTTAATGTCTCTAATAAGTTTGGTTTTAATTATTTATTTTCACTATCACTAGCGTAGAATGACAGCCTTTCTTTTTGTACAGTGGGAGGAGGTGGAGACATGTTGTCCACCATCTATTTAGAGCTGGAGTCAGGACATATTTACCCTAGCTCAGCAAACTCCAAATGACGTCACCAATTTTCTTAATTTTTAAGGGAAGTGAAAACATGTCATCCATCTTTAAATTTCAGTTACTTACTAGTAGCTGTGTATAGCTTCATATTGCTACTCTGGGCATGAGACAAGCAATTATATTGTATATACTGAATACATTTTCTGTTCTAGAGAGCCACAATGTTCTCTGATGTGTACCAGCAGCAACAGCAGCAACAGCAGGGAGTTATACGGGACATGTGAGAAATGTGGATGGCTCATTACAGGAAGTACAATACCGGAAAGATATAAAAAGATTGTGCCTTCGAGAGACATAAAAGAACCTGTTTCTAATGCAAAAGAATGAAAAGCCTTAAGTACATTTAGCCTTCACGATTACATGTTTATGCAAAATTGCTTTGGGAAACAGATCTCAATGCACTGAGTGACCTCTAAGACTAAATATGGGCAACCACTGTAGCTGCTTTCATATATCTTGGTGCATTTATAACTACATTCATATTTTACATTATTTTTAATAGTGAAGACTCTATCCATAGAGGACAATACACAGTAAACTTTCCATTCGATTCTCATAAGACATTATGAAAGTACTGCAAGTGCAATTATAGGATTTTGTGAGAATTATTATCCGAGTGAAATGCAGTTTCCTTCCACCTGATGATTGTATTGTAATAACCATTGTAATCAGCTGCCAGCATATCCTCAGGCACTATGACGTGTTCTGCAGATATTATTTCATTCATCAGCCCATCAAGGCTGTTGTGATGTTTGGTCTCAACACAACCACAAGATGGAAGCAGATCACACTGAAACGCCACAAGAAGAGGGAGGTGGCATTACAATGTCCAATTCTCCGGACTCACCCCAACCCAGTACATAGTACCAGAAGAGCTGCTGTTCCCCAACAAACACGGCCACTATGATGAGTGTGTGGAGATAGATGCCCTGACACAGCATCCAGAAGTAATTGGAAGTAGATGCATACAGAGTGAGCACAGCCAGGACCTTACAGCTCACCTGACAGACAGAAAAGGGAATCAAATGTATCGCAATGCAGTCGAGGCACATTCAAATCCATTACTGTAAGACTATAGATGACAAACAAACCAAAAATATAAATAATTGTTTGAGTTATGCATGGATTCAAATTTCTACTGAAAACACTTCTAAATTAAGTGTAGAAATTAGGCATGTTAACTTAAATTGATTGACATAATGAGATGAAATATAACACAGTGTCTCACGGAGTTGCTGGTGTTTGTGGTTTGGTCATTGGATGCTGTGAGTGAGAGCCACATTATGGTGACAATGGAGTTCAAGATGAAGGAGAGAAACATGTTCTTGTGGAGGGAGATTCTCTGGCAGCTGAGACTCCTGAAAAATCAGGAGAGAGACAGACAAGAAGACATTAATCACTTAATTGCATAAAACTCAATCATCATATTATTGGGAACACTGGTGACTTTGATATGTTAGGTCATATATGATGTATATGATAGAAAGATCAATATTAATTCTATGTATTAGCCCATAAATACTCTTCTTTATTTTTACTACCTTTACTTTTTTAACCATCTAACACACTGAGGAACAGACAGGAAAGAAAGAAGTGAGTAAATCCAGATATAAAGACTATAAAAGTGTTTAGTCTGACATGACAGGATAAAACTTTCCCTTGACTCACTTGAAGTAGGAGAAGATGATCAGACATATAATCAGCGAGACAATGGACAAACCATGACCCACCATGGACATGTAGTAGAGACTGATGGCAAACTGCAGAGAAAAATAAATGCACGGCTCCTTTAGAATGGATAAATTATGTATGAGTTCCAGATGTAAAGCACATGAAAACAGTGTTTGAGTGTTTGCACAGTGTCTGGACAGTATAAAGGAGGCAAAGGAAACATGTGTTAAGAGACTATTTTGGAAAACTTGGAAAAGTGTTTCCTGAATGGCAGTCTTGGCCAAGTTTCATGGAGAATAACTGAGATTCATTAACATCCAGGGGCTCAGACAAGCCTTTACAATGTCAATTCTTACTGAGGTATTTGTGCACAGGGGCTGACACAGAAAGTGAAACAAATCCTTAAATGACTGTTTTTATAGATAAGAGGATGGATGCAAAACAATACTGGACCCAAAACCAGAGAAAATGTTCATAGTAAGTTTAAACTAGAACGATCAGAACTCTTCTTTGAATTGATATCAAGGTAGATATCAAGGAGGGGTGGAGAGATTAGATTGTGCAGGATTCTTATCACCAATTTCAAAGTTTCTGCTGTCCATCCATGTTTCGTTTAATTTCTGACCATCAGATACTAACATCTGTCATCAGTCCCTTTGGTGTTATTTCCTATGGTCGCTTCAGATTGCATTTTCAAATCATGCCTCCAAAAAAGGACACTATATAGGGTTTAGTGTAGATGAAAGACTCCTGTCCACAGTACATTCACTTAATGTATTTTACCTTGAGTTTGTCTTTGGTGTAGGCCTGACACTGAGTGTAGTTACTCCAGACTCGGTTGCTCACTGGATGATGGAACCACTGGCCATCAGGATTACACACTTTGGTAACCTTCTCTATTGAACACAATGATATAAGTCATGCTATATTACAAGCAATCAAAATATGACAAGAGAAACCAAGAGGATGAAGTCCAAAATTAAGAATGAAAGAATGAAAAATGTATTTTAAGAATCTTTTAACCCCTTTTAACACCAAACGCTTTTAGCATCATGTGCTTCACGTACTGCAACTTATTTATTTCTAGATTGATGTAAATCTACTCAAGTTAAAGCTGAGAGGTGGCTCATTGAAAGGACAGTTCACCCAAACATTTTAATTCACCACTATGCTGATGGAGGGGTGGGTTTGAGTTCATAAAAAACTTCTGGAGTCTTTGCGGTAAACGGTATTGCAGTCAAACTGACCCCTTCTTCAGAGGTAATAAAACAACAGACAACAACTTTCATATTCGACTTAAAACGGCATCATTTACACTATGTTTTTAAGCCTGAAAGTCCAGGACGGGATGTAGCGAAGCGAACGAGCACCCCGTGCGTGCCCTTGGGCGAGAGTGAGTACAGTTTTCCGGTGTCTCCGTGAGAACATGAACTCATCTCCGAGGAGGATATCAGAGGACATTCAAGCTTCAAAAATCAGTGTAAATGACGCCATTTGGAGACAAATATGAATGTCGGGGCTTCCGGACACTTGGATGACACCCGACGAGCAGTATGGAGACATGTGGTGTTTTTACATCTAAAGAAGGAGACCTGTTCACTTCAATAGTATTGGATTTGGCTGTAAACACTGTTCACCCCTGAGACTCCAGAAGTGTTTACAGGACTCAAACACTTCACCCACCCCTCCATCGACAATGAGTTTTTTTTATAAATCATTTTCAGTACTTTATATCAAACTCAACATGATGAAGCTCAAAGCCAAAAGATCATTATCTGGACACTTCACCGCTGGACTGTACATGTGTTTGCATGTGTGAAGGCATGCATGCATGTGTCTTGAGGCCTCACCAGCTGGGTCAAAATCTTGAAAGTATTCAGGACACATCTGCATCTTGGGCCCAGGTTCTGAATCCCCCCAGCACAGCCAGCCATCCCACGTACGGTTACAGTAAGCACCTACGGAGAACAGTGCAGACGTGATGTTGAACTCGCAGAGCTTGACACTCGACATGACAGATGTACAGATTGTGCCTGTTACACTGAGAGTTATACTGTTATAGCACAAACAAGAATTTCTAATTATGAAGTTTTACAGTTCTTTCTTGGCTTTTAAAATGAAACCTTTAATGAAATGCTTCTTGCTATGAGTGCAGATATAATGATATAGCTACCCTTGTTTCCAGGGAAACAGCCACTGGGAGTTACCTTTTATCCGGATTTGTCCTTTGACATTGACAGAAACATTTAAAACTAATTTCAAGGACTGTCTTTTTTTACTTGTGTAACATTGCAAAAATCAGGCAAATCCTATTTCAAAAAGAAGCAGAAAAAAATTGCCCATTCCTTCATTGCGTCAGGACTTGAATATTGTAATTTCTGATTATCAGTCTCTACCAGTAAGTCTTTACAAAATGCAGCTTTTCCAAAATTCTGCAGCACGTGCCTGACTAGCACCAGGAAAAGAGATCACATTTCTCCTGTATTAGCTTCACTACACTGACTTCCTGTTAAAATTAGATTCAAATTTAAAATTCTCCTCCTAACCTACAAAGCCCTTAATAATATGGCATCATGATTCATTGAAGAGCTCATCGTGCCAAATCCCCCCACTGGAGCATTGCTCCAGCAGGAGCCAGATGATTGTGGATTATGATTACAACTAGATTTGCTTAGATATACAATATGCCATCTCATTAAGGCTCTCTTCATCTTCTCTCTGGACATTTTCATATATATATAATACTTTGAAAATTGATTCACCTCTCCATTCATGTTAGACATTGTCGTTTCACTGCATCTATTGCACTTCTGTCCATCCTGGGAGAGGGATCCGTCACATGCGGCTCTCTCTGAGGTTTACGTGTTTTACTTACCCCCTCTTAAAAGGGGGGATTTTTGTCCTTTTTTTCACTCTTGTATTTTAATATAAAACCACTCTCTCAATTGAAATCCCAAACAGGTGGAAGGGTCAAAATAAAGGAATGCAAAAGGGTAATACTGTCTAACCCTTTAATTTCAGAATGTCCATCCATATGAGGCACCTACTCCTGTTTTGCGTTTTTAGTTGAGATTTCTGTAGATGGTGCTGTTCGTCTGTTCAGAGCAGAAGCTATAGTATCTCTGTAAGCTACAAAGTTTTTCTATTTAAAACAATTGAAGCAGAAAAGGCATCATATAGGAGGAAAAGACATTTCAGTCACTGCATGTTTAAAACAGCCAAAATAATACATAGAATATGAAATCAATAATGATGCCTTATTAAATGAGCACATCAGCTCTAACATATATGCTATAATTACAAGACACAGGGCAGCATTTGACCTTAAATGAGAAACGCTGAGATGTCTGAAGTGAGAAACCAGAAATGATAGGTTCATCCTCAACTCTCTTTAATTAAAGATGACCATACTCGGGATGCATAAACAAACCATAGATTTGGATTTTAAAATAATATCCAAGCCAAGACTTAAGTTTACTGACATGTATTATCACTCAACACATCAATGCTGAAGAGTCAGTTCTGTCATATGTCATCAGAGAATCGTAAAGATAGGGAACCTTTTCAATTTTTAATAAACTGCCTGACTCATAAATTATCTATTCAATATAAATGGTGTTACACTTGCATAAACTATGTGTCTTACCTCAGCTAGCCTGTACACACAAGGTCAACAATAGACGGAAACCTGGCCTTACCAGGTTGCATGGCGGCATGTTGGGAAATGGAGCACAAAATAACATTTCAAAGACAGTGAAGTACTGAGCGGGAGAGAGGCACTGTGGGAGAGACAAAGGGCGAGTTTCCTTTCTTTCACACTCACTTCCCTCTCCTCTCTTTCACTCTCTCTCCTCTGTCTCTCTCTTAGTGTGTGCACATACTGGAATGTGTTAATATACTTCGCAACCACTAATTCATACTAAATCTGCATGCTATGAAAAAGTTATTTTCATATGCGCTATTTCAAAATATTTATTTTTAAATTAGTTTGGAGTCCTATCTTACACCTGGTGCCAAGCCACTCCATGCCCAATGCTAGTCTTCTTTCCTATCCATGCCTATTATGCCATCTGAGCACCCATGGCTGTGGTCAGGTGCATTGTGGTTGCATTGTAATCTTGAGGCAACAGAAAGTGATGGCCCTTTTGCCAAACAAATACCTGGTGTTAAATAGCACAGGAATATTACTATTAAAAGACCTCCTCTCATGAAGCTAACCTATTGAAGAGAAAAGCATAATCAAGATAGTATACATGTAACCACACAGAAAACAATGAGTCTCAGTTTCAGGTGATTATACAGTAGTGAGAACATCATTATGGTTATTGTATTATTTTTCTACAAATATATCCCCCTCAGTCCTACACACTGGACCTTTAAAGATATTTGATACTTTCATTTTGTCTGGTTCAGTGACCTGATTTATAGCTCTTATAGCTGTAAACACATTTTTTAACTCCACTGGAAGTATTTTTACAAGCTCTATGGAATGTTGAAACAATAATCAACCGCGTTCCACCTACTAATTCCACAAATGTCTTTCTGTCTGTATGTGAAACACATATCTTGCAAACTGTTCATCTAGCTTCACACTTGGCATGTGTAGTGTTAATGGCAGTGGGAATTGCAGAATCAAATTCGGTGTGATTTGGACATGTGATACAATCAATTTTAATAAAGATTTTATATTTAGCTGAAAAAGTGAGCTTTTTTTTTGAAAAGTTTTTTGAAAATTGTATGACTTTCTCAACAGGCCTTTGACCTGATAGTTGACAAAAAACACACATGTCCAGTTAATTTCATTTTATGAAAAACATTGACTAAAAACTTAATTGCAGATGAACCAGGTAGGATGACCACAACGTTTTCTAACAAAAAAGAAAAGATATAAATGATACCCTGGTTGATGGCATTTAAAGGGCCTCAGCACTGCAACCCAGCCACAAATTGTGATTAACAGTTATCCAAAATCCACCTTCAACAAAATATCATGATACTGTTCAAGAGACATCTGTGAAACTGAATCGTGAACAAACACTAAAATCTCTTCACCTGTTTTGTTTCTTGGTGGATCATAGATGATCTTCAGGTAACACTCAAACTGAGCAGCCAGGATCTGGTGTTGGGACTTTCCAAGAACTGTGGATATGTTGCTGGAATTCTCCTGCTGTATTGGCACCCCTGTTTCAACAGCTGCCACAGACTCAACATCCTCACACTGGGACACCTGGGTATTGAACAAATACAGACAAGGGGTTATATTACAATTGGAAAAGTATCTTTTGATTAATTGTTATTTCTTGCTATGCTGTGTTCACACCAAATGGGAAGCAAATGTCAACATCATTCCTACTCATCATTTGTGTGTAGGTCACGGTCACACATATGCAAATGTAGCAGTGGTGAACCTTTGCTTCATGTTCACCTCCAATCTGTACGAGCGAGGGGCAGAAAAAACATTTGCTAGGCGTAGCAAAGCAAATCTGCAGTGTGGCTTCTTGTGGAGTTCAATTTTGGGGAATTTTGAGTGAAAGACAGAAGCTTCAGGCCAAAAAAGATGCAAGCAACATCTTGATCGCCCCCTAGTAGCTAACTGCAGTAAAGTCTGCCTCCTCCATGTTAGTGGATGGGATATGGACCAAACTAAAAACTAAAAAGTACACTTCAAATAAATGTTTTGCTATGACAAGACTTCTGTCTTTTTAACTTGTTCTCATCACATTAATCTGAGTAATTATTCTGGTAAGTTTGATTTTAATTAATTATTTGATGCCATAAAAAAGAGGTAAAATTGCATTATTGACATTGATTGGTGGAGCGTGTGTGTTGGTGGGACTTCAATACCATGGCTCCCTATACAATTACTACTGCACAGACTCCAAACATCACCAGCAGATGGCAGTACCCGTAACCAGGATATCTTAGCTTTATTTTTGTACAGTGGACGGACGTGGAGACGCATGGTACTCCTCAGACATAGGGTAAGGGACTTTGTTGAGTAACAGTGGAAACAAACAGTGAAAACACAAAGTTTCTCTGGTCACATCTGCTCAATGATCAGCTGCTTCATGATCAGAGCAGAAGCTGCTGGTTTGTACCGAGCTGGAGTTTCAGTTTCCTCCTCCACTCTGACCTACTCTCACTTTAACTAATAAACACTCATCAGTTATCAGAACCTGATCAGTACGGGAACTAACTTAGTTTTTTGTTTGATTCGCTCCAGAGTGCATACGTCATGAAAAATGACTCGTCCACATGTTGTGCTCAGTACATTACGTGACGTGAATAGCAAGACTCAGTGTTAAAGTGACGGAGAGATACAGATTCATCATCTGACACCTTTGATTAATAACTAAATACATGGCCGGAAGTTTGTCATCTAAATCACAACCATCCCAACAAAACGATGGAACAAATAAATGTGAACTAGTTTAATTTAGGAACTGTGAACTATGAACATGAACTAGTACATTTTCATCCGTATGAACTGAACTCTGAACTTGTTCTTGTTAAGTGTGATCTGGCACAACACTGATCATTAATGTTAATTGGCACATGACCATACACAGTCCAACCATACCCGAGGTTTTTGACTTAGTCTTCGATTGCCTTATATTAGATAATATGTTCTCTGCTTAATGTGTGCAAAGCATAATCAGACACACACAGATGTACTCACCTCTGTGCCCAGCACCAGCACAACTAGAAGTGAAAGAGTTAGAGTCCTCCACATGTCTCTGAAAGGGGAAAGGAACAAGAACACTGCATTAGGACGTTTTTACTTTACTTTGCTGGGCAATCATGTGCCATTTCTGTGACTGCCTCTCTAGAAGAGGGATCTGGTAACATGAGGCATAATAAACAGCTCTCGACTGTAACAGCACGAGGTCACCAAAGTATCCTGTGAATAGTGTCATGTACAGTTGCAATGTGGATTCACTGTGCGTGTGTGACTGCATGGTTTTTGTAAGGATGCCTGTGTGCGTTTATTTACACTATGTGTCTTTTCTCATCTATCAGGACAGGAAGTTCATGCTTCAGCAGTCGTTCCTCTACACTGTCCAGTCAGGGTCACAGAAACAGATGTGTGTTTATTATTGTTTTTGGGTAAAAGGGCAGCAAGTTCCCTTTAGTGTTTCCTCTGCAATGAGCCAAACAAGGCTGAGAGAAATACATAATGACAGGGGGACAAAAACGTGACAGTGAAAGAGATTCAATAAATAATAATTGTAATATTAATACAAAAAATTAACACATGAAACAAAGATTTTCCCTTTAGTGGAAAAAACGACTGACTTTATCGATGAGGAAGGAAAAGGGTAAGAAGGTATTTCAATGATTGGACCTCATGGCCAGCATAACGTAACAAACATAAATCATAGCATACATAACATAACATAACACCTACAGGTGAGTTTTTTCATTGTGATGTAAATGCAATTTAAATTATTTAAGTGCTGATACATTGATTGATATAGTCCAACTGTGAGGAGAATTTTACTGCAACACTGGAAATGTAAGCGTTCAAGTGGTGAAAGTTTGGATGTCACAGGCCGTTACAGTTGATAACTATGCCAACAACCTCTTTGTGGCCAGAGTAATGAAAACATTTTGACAGCTGAGAAGTGCAAGAAAGAGAGATGGAAGAATTGAGGAAGATGTTGTGCGTCAGAGGTGTGAGGGTTTCGGGAACTGTTGCTTTCAAATGTGTGAAAAAACATTTTTCATCCTTTGTTTGGACTCATTCTACGTTCTATGTTCAGCAAGAGATGAAGAGCATGTGAGCGTCATGGCTGCTGATGAGATGTGAAAGAAAAAACACGACACAGACCAGATTTAACTGAAAGAGAACATTTGAATTAATCATGTTTCATGAGCGTGTTAAGCATCATTTAATGTAAAGTTCAGTGATTGTATGTGAAGCTCTCAGGGAGCTACGTGCAAAGGTTTGACGAAATAAGCTCTTTTGATTCAATGCACGACACAAAGGTAATTATTAAAACATTTGCAGTAAAAAAACGTCTCAGTGTTTAAGATTTTAATATTTATGTGGACCTAACCTGCTGGAGAAGCATTAAGATGCACAACATCAACATGCATGTGGAACACAATGTGGTGCTAAGAGTGCTAGCTCCTGCTGCGTTCTATTTTTAACATTCGATGGTAAATGGTAAATATTACCATGTAGATAAATAGGTTTTATAGGAAAGTCAGAAATTGGGGGGAAAAGTTTTTTGCTCTCTCAGTAATGAATTCCTGTGTATTAGACACTGTAGCTAACATTATTTTAAAAACTGGAAGTGGGAGGAAGCAGCTTGTTGTTCTGTCTAAGATACATTTAGCTACACCCAACCTGAATTATTAACATGTGTAAGGATTATGCAAAAACTACACAAGGTTTTTGGAGTGAATGTGCTTACGGGATAAGGACCCAGGATTTTTTTATCCACTTTCTTTAGCATTGCCAGATTTTTTTTTTTTACATTTTTGTGAATTCCTCAAGAAATAATGCAGAGATCTTTATGAATCAGGCATATGTAGAGTGTTCGTAACTATAAACAGATGCAATTGGGTGTGGATCCAGGCCATGATTATCTGTCCTGCTTATCCTTCAGAGGGGAGCAGGGGGAGTTGGAGTCAATTCCAGCTGATATTTGGTGAGGGTCACAAGTCCATCACAAGGCTGACATATGCAGACAAAACAACTCACACCTATGCTTGATTTAGAATCTCCAATCTGCACGTCTTTGAACTGTGAGAAGAAGCATGAGTACCCAGAGCAAACACAGGGAGAACATGCAAGACCCCAGCTGAAGCTATATATAATATGATATCTTAAACTAACATGTTATAACTTGTTTTTATTTATTCAAAAATTGCAAGACCTCCTGTAAAATGACGAATCATTGATGTTACACTAACACTGTTTTTGTATGAAATAAACAAATCAAGTCACATGTTAATTAGCGGGATTTGTTAACTTACAGTCCTTGGCAAAATCTATTCCCATTTCCAGGCTTTGTGCAAAACTATGCTCTGGCGGCGGCTTCATGTTTAACAGCCACGCTTACTCTCTGCCAACAAATACATGTTTATCTCCCGAAACATTGAACTATTCTTTGGTGTATCCCTCTTTTTGTAATTCACACAATAATGTGACATCTTTTCTGAGTTTCTGACAATAAACAACACAGAGAGACTCACAATCGCCCACAAACAGACATTCATTTATAATTACGATTCCATTTATTAAGAACCAAACAAAGAATGCCTTGCTATCTGTTATGTACACAGTTGCCTGTAGCAATGCATTGTTCCCAATCACGACATTGTAAATCCAAGGACACACTCCCTCTGGTATTATAATACCTTGGCAGTACATGGAGTGGGCCATTGTCACCAATAGGCAGTGCTTACAATCTATCGTGAACTGTAGCCAAGTAGTTTGGGTTCCCTCCTCTGGTAACGATACAAACTGAAAGGCTGTTGCCTTTGTCACTTCCTTTGCTACCATTTCTTTGTCCCATATTTTCATCAGGGTCATCAGCTCCATTAACCGAGATGATTCAGAGCACCAGACATAAATGCATGCGGCGATGTGTGTCTGTGTTTTCATCAGTTTTTGGATTAACTACTGTTTCTGTGTCCGGACACTGTCTTTCTGTGGGGTACATGAGGAAAAGTGGAGTTTAAAATAAGGTCAAACGAGCACATCTCTGTCGCCTCTGTTTTGTTTCTTCCTTCACCATCATATGTCATCATTTATCACAGTCACTCTATCACACGTTGACACTGTGTGTCCCTTAAGCTTCCCAGCCATTCAGCCTTTTGTTGAAGGAATATGTCAGGATCTGCTCACAAGTCAACAACCTTTAAAAAAGTTGTCTCTCTCTTTCTTCTGTAGCCCAGAGAATAGCGTTGATGTAGCCAAGTTTACTTTAAAGGTAAAAGGCATCTTCTCATGCCAGTGAATATACAGCTTTTGCAAGCACCTTTACATTGTTCCTTAATTTGTTGACAAGGAGCTGTTGTCGGAAAATGATTAAAAACACATACGTGAGCCACACTGTAGCCCTGGGCAACTGGTTTATTTTTGATTAAATCCCACATACACTCTCCTTCTTAAAAGTGAAACATGAGAATTCAAATGCACCTTACCCATGGAATTAATTTCCTTCAAACTAGAATTGCCACCCTGTGGTTGTGTGCCTCAGCCAACCAGGGCAGTTTCAGTCCCTCCAGGTGTCTCCTACAGATTACATTCACAATAATACGAAGCCACTATGACCTTTGACTCTTCACCTCAGTTGACAGCTGGTCAAAATTTCCCTGAATTCAATTAATCATTGAAATTTCCCTCTAGGCATTCTTGAGATATCATGTTAACAAGAAAGGGATGGAACTGTCATCCGTTCCAACTTATGGCACTGCGTGAAAACGTACTTTTATTTTAGCTTTTTTAATTGAATTGGAGTTTAATTTGGTGACAGAAACAAATTTGCGGTCAGTAAGCAAACATACTGTGAACTAAAGAGAATGTAAGTTTGTATGTCCTCCTATATTTTCAGTTCATTACTTTGCAAACCATATTTGGCTGCTTAGAGCATTTGAAAAACTCCCTCCCTTACTCAAGAAAAAAAAATTGCAGCCAGTCATGTGCAAACGAGCATAGCTACTGTCTCTTAGCATAAATCCTGTAACAGCTCAGTGTATTCCTTTCATGGAGTACTCATTACTTTCTCCTGCATGGTGTTCAGATGGTCTGAGGAATGTGTGGTTCAGTTTGTCTGGTAACAGCTGTAGAAAGAACGTGAGTGCACCATGGGAAAGAGACTCATAACAACTCAACCCAACAAGGCCATGCAGCTTTAATCAATCTTTAATAAAAATATTAACATGTGTATCAAGCTTCAACAATCCTCATCGGATGTTGGCAACCACGATGTTCAAGGTAAGGGATGTCTGTTATGAATGTGCCATTTATATCCATCACAGTATACACACAGTAATCACAGGGTTTGAACAGTAAATTAGTTTTGGAAGCAAACACTAATTCACTACAAATGCTGCCAAGCTGTATAAACATTAAAAACAGCCTTCTGTGACCAGGCTAGACTTCTACTTCACAAAGGTTTGTGGGAAGGAAGCTGGACTTTCTGACATAGTTAACAAAGAATATTACAGAGTATTTAATGGATGGAGGAAGAAGGCTTACAAAGGCCTGTACAAAGCTCAACATATCCTGGATATTTCTTTGTTATACAGCTTTACAGTCCATACCAACACACCTGAAAACGCCTATCACACAACCTCTCACGTACACTGGTCAAAATTTAACTGCACAAAAGCTGTTAGCAAAGACAACGGGGTCAGCAACACATGTATTGATTATCCATGTTAGGTTCTACACTGGTAGCCCAGGATAATGCAGGTTGTCTTCTATCAGGAGGGGATCATATGATAAGAGTCTAATACATCTGTGAATGTCTTGACCAAATCTCTGTAGTGAGTAGTGCGAATGCATTGGAAAAGTTTTCTGAGCTCTTTCTAAAGAGAATCAATTCTTCAGTAAATCCACATTCATGAGGCAGAGTTAAACCTGCAGGATATGTTGCTAGCCACAAGGTTTTAGTAGTACAGGCCTCAGAAAGAAGGAATATGAACATGTCTGTGTCTGAGCCCTTGGGGGGCTTTACTTTGGATTTAGAACATTCCAGTGGATACAAACCTCCTCTGA